AACGCTGTCTTAGCCATGCAGCTCCCCTCGCCTTAAGCCGAAGCCCATCAACTTGTCAAGCACAGCAAAACGCCTCGTCCGCACGAGCTTTGGGCTTAGCCTTCGCTTTCATCTTGAACTTTGCTTTCGCCTTTGCCTCCCGGGCAGGCTTCGAGAACTCTTGCGACAGAGGACAGAGGGTGTTTGGCGTCTTGAACTTGGGTTTCGGGACTTCAGACCGGAAGCTTCTCCGCAGTGCAGTCGAAATTGCGCCTCAAGATTGAAAATACAGTCCAGTAGCACCAACATAGAGCAGCTGCATCGTTGCCATCGAACCGGGCTGAAACAGGCATGCTTCTCTTCCATCTGGATCTTACACTTCTTTTTAACTTCAAATGTTTCTACCCACATCCTTGGAAAGCAGCACGTTGCGGGTTGGTCGGCAAACTACAGCACAGCGTCCCGAAAAGCTGATGGCGCCACAGTCTCGCACTGATGCATGCCTTGGCAGCTTCTGCTTCCTTCGCGGCCTTTGCGCGAGCTTTGGCGATCCGCTCGTACACCTGGGCAAGAGTGCCGCACTCTGATCACCATGTGCGCCTAAGGTTGAAGGCTCGATGCACAGGCCCACGTCTTCAGAGCTTCTAGACAAGGAATTAGATGCCGGTATAGGACGGCTCTAGACCAGGATGATAGGCAGAAGTCATGTGAAGCCAGGACCGGGAAGCCAAATAGTCCCCCACATTTGTCTTGCAAAGTTCTCTCAGATTTCCACCACAACCCTTGCGAAATCACATGGAAACACATGGCGACCAGAAAAGACACTGACACCAAGGATTGCTCTGCCCTAAGCTCTCAACTCTGAACCGTCCCCCACCCTCACGGATTCGCCGGCCTGGTACAAGCACCCTCCGACGATGCCAATCGGTATCCCAACTTGGTGTGGCAAAACAAGCGAATGCTGGTTCTCATGGGAGCCCTGAGGGGCACGCTGAGCAGAAACTCTGCCAGCTAATATCCCGACACGTGGGATGTCCTTCAAACCTGTCCTCTACTCCAGGAGTCATGAAAAGAGTTCCTTGTTCTGTCCTGGTTAAGCATCCGCCGAAAGAACCGCCTCTGAGTTTGATTACAACAACAGAACCTGTTGGTGGTCGATCCATGCGCACCGCATTGCTCGTCGATCGCTCCGGGCTTGGAAACGTCCGTCTCAAGCTCTTTGGGTCTCTTCGGACATGCGAGGACCATCAGAGGGCCGCACGCACGAAGATGGCTGAGAGCCTGAGCTGCTGCAACATCTCTCCCCGCCTCGCCTCCGGTCGCCTGGTACCTGGTAACATAGGGGCCTTAATCCAGTAGTTGGAATAGGGTGTTGGGGCCCATTCTACTATAATTAATTAAAAATGAGGAACCCCCAAATAATACGAGTCATTAAGGCCCCTATTATACTATAATTACAAATGAGGAACCCCCAAATCATATGAGTCATTAAGGGCCCTATAGTAGCCTATACTATAACTGTAATAGGGAACCCCGAATAATGTAGGTTCTTAAGGCCCCTATAGTAAGTAGCTTCACGACATTGACATGCCTTCGGTGCAGAAGATTCCTGGGTGCCGGGCCCCAGCTGCAGATGCCCGGCCTTCAGGCCGGTGCCGTGCTCGTTCTCTGCGAGGCCGAGCCTCGGAGCGACCAATTTTGGTGGGGTTTATAGGGGTTTGGGGTTTAGGGTTGAAGGTTGGGTTTAAGGGTTTAGGGGTTTTGGGTTTAGGGTTTAAGGGTTTAGGGGTTTAGGGTTGAACTTCCCCCCACGAATCGAGCAGACTGAGGCTTCCAGCTTTGGGCACGTCGTCTCCTCTATGATGGCGCCTCCATCGGCATCTTTCACACCCCCGTCGGGGCGCCTGTGGCGACGCCGCAGGTATACTACAAGGCAGCAGGCAGCTTCCCGATAGAGCAGCTGAGAAGTTCGGGCTGCATCTACAGGGTTCAGTCAGGGGGAACCGGTGACCTGAAGTTGCTGACAAAGCGCTGACAAGCGAAGGGTTTACGATGCAGTCCGAGTTTGGTCGAATTTTGAACCTCGCAAGCTGCTCGGAGGCTTTGCACTGTGAGGGAGTGAGACGAATGCCTCACCTAAAAGATCTTGGTACAATAGGCCGCCTTAAACATGGGCCTGTCCTTCTCTTCTGCCATGATGTGTTCACTTCTGTGGTAGCACTCCCAGCCACGGCCGCAATGCATGCAGTCTCTGTCTGTCTTGCATCCGGTCTTCTCCCATTCTGGTGCGTCGTAATCTCCCTGGCAGTGCTTGACTACGGAGGATCCTTCGTTGGCGTGATCAAGGTGCTCTGCAACCTGGCCGATGCCCTCGTGCTGCTCGACCACGTGGCTGCCTCCCTCCATATTCCGAAGACCTGAAGCAGGAACGAGCAGAAGAAGCATGATGGTGGCCATCGCGCGCCCCATGTTTAGAGAGCCGGCGAGGGGAAATCAAAGTGAACTGACCAACAACGACTGACTTGAGCATCAACTTGCCACGACGCTCCAATCATGTGATCCGAATTGCATCGCTCGGAATCTTGCTTCTGCTATTATGCTTAGCAGCCACCCACCCAAACCCTCCCGGCCTGAAAACCCTTAAAACGTAGCAAGACATCCGCAACCCAATCGGTTCACGAGAGTAACGCTTTGAAGAACCCTTTCGATAATGCCATAGTAGCCCCAACAAACGACCCTTACAGCAACCACTCAAATGGTGGCCCCTTTATATCATGACCTTTATAGCGAACCCGACACTCACGCTTATAGTACCCTCTGTGAGAACCCTTCGCCTAACCGGTAAAGCCAGCATCGACCCGAGCATTCCTTGGAACCTTTAGGGTTTAGGGTTTAGGGAACCCTAAACCCTAAACCGGTGCCGACAGACCCAAGAGGCCTCTTGTGGCCGAAGTCGCCAAACGAGCTGTTAGCCGATCCTGCGCAGTCAGTACAGTGGCATCAAGAGAAGATAGAGAACAGGGTTTGCAAGGGATCGGTTGGGGTTGCCATAGGAGTTCTACAACAGTCACTACACCATCGTGGTCTTGAGAATTAGAATAGGTCCTTGGCGGCACGTTATAGCATAACTATATAAGTTATATTAAGAGGTATGAAGGATACGAGGACGAGTGCCAGATTGAGCTTCTGCATTCGGAAGAGGGTCTTCAGCAGCTTGACAGATCTGTGGTCCAAGTCTCTTTGATGATGTCGCTGGTGGAGACCTGTCCCTCGGAAAGACCGAATTAGTTCATGCAATGTGTCAGACACTTTTGATCTTCTGAGCTTTCTTGTTTCTAAAAAGGACCGGATCCTCAAGGGCCTAGCCCCTGCGAAAGCAGACACAAGGCGTCGCCTGAGCAACAATGGCACGCTCGCAGTTCTCGATGCTTGACGCAAATGGCTCTTGACAATAAAAGCTCCTGACTTCGTAGACTGAGTCTTTGCCTGTCGCATCTTGTAACAAAGAACCGTCCTTTCTTGCCCGAGGAGCCCAGATCACAGAAGCATCAATATAGGGACCTGAATTGGAATAGGATTTTGGGGAAGATCATACTATAATTGCAGTAAGGAACCATCCAAAAACTAATTAAAATAAGGAACCCCCAAAAAGGAATGGGTAACTTTTAGGCCTGTATTATTAACTTTCGGAGGATCCCTGGATGAGCTCCTGACTGGAGGAAGCGGCTGGCTCGAGCTTCTACCAGCTGCGGTGCGGCCAGAAACTCGGCGCAAGCCGCTCGTGACCTGCTCTCTGAGTCAGAAAACTTCTTCTTTTGTGCCCCTTCCTACCCGCTGACGTCAGAAAGCATTGCTGGCCTGGCCACAGAGTTGCCTGTAGCTCAGCTCTAAATTCAACAGCCAACCTGCCCCAGAAACCTCACAGCACTCCTTGCCCGGCCGTGGCAGCCGGAAAGGTTTAGGTTTTGAGCTTCTGCAGTTCAGGCTGAAAGCTCGTGAGGATTTGAGGACCCAAGGCTGACCAGCAGACAGGGCCCAGGCTCTCCCGGGAAACCAAGATCCAACGAGAAAAAGTGCCCCTCCGCCGGCAAGACTGCTGAACAAATCATGAAGTACACACATACGGTGCCATGATACTGGAAGTCAGACTCACCCTTGAGTCCCGCCTGGCACATCCAGAAGGGGCAGTGGAGAACTGCTCTTGAAGAGAGAAACAGCTCTCCTCAGGACCTCAACGATGGAGACAAACTGTCCCAGGCTTAGAAAACCATTCCCTCTACTGGAGGACTCGGCACCGCGAGGGCATGAAATGCGTCCCTTATTGTTGAGATCTTTGGCCCTGTCAACTGGGGATGCGTAGGGTCCATCCTCTCTCGTGCTGATTTGTCCTCAACACATAGGTTCTTTCACTCTCAATTCCCAGGCCCATCATCGACTCCTGCCCTACTGCCCGCTCAGACTCATCTTCAAGACCGTGTGTGCCTTTGGTGCTTCGCTTGGCCTATTGGCGCTTCTCTCGGTCCTGGGCTCTGCCATCCGGAGTTGTGTTTCATCCCTGCATCTCATCAGCACCATGCAGAAGTGCAGAAGATATCTTTCGTCTTGGAAACTGTCTCCTCATCCCAGCGGTGGATCTAAGGCTCCTGTGCTTGCTGAAGGGTCACGTGGTGTCTCACGGCTTCAGGCTGAGAGCCGAAAATGTTCGATGGATCGAAGCATTGGAGGCCAGTAACCACATGCAGAGGTATCGCTCAATATGTGTATATATATATATATATACATATATATATATATATATAACTATATATGTACATATATATATATATATGTGTATATATATATGTGTATATACATGTGTGTATATATATATATATGTCAATCTCTGTCGACCAACTGCACCGCCGCAAACGGCGAGCGTCTTGCCGCTTACTTGACAAGCTCGACGGTAAAAAGGCACTCTAGGACGCGTGTTTGCTCGTCAATTCACAGGTGCTCGAAAATGGCCGTAGTTCTCACCGGCATATTTGGCTTCTGTACATCGAGGACAAGTTTGCTAATCGCTGTTCGAGACGCGGTCGCTTCACAACCGCTTGAAAACAGATCGTTGCATGGGCAACGTGGACTTCGGAAGGAGGCACGACCAGTCAACCCGTCACTGAATACCGTTTGATGAAAATCTGCTCATGTAGTAAGACCCCTGTGAATGCGAAGTTTTGGCGAAGTGCGAAAGACTGCCCTCTACCCTGCTACCTAAAGAAACGCGCCAGCACATGTTGTGAAGTGCATGTGAAGCTGTCTTCTTGATATGACCAGTCCACAGGTCATGTCATGCCTACGTGCAGTGGAAGACATTCGTCGGCCTAAAAGTGAGCACACCGCTCTCTTCAACTTCTTGCCTGTCCGGGAAAGGCTGCCGAGACAATGCAGGCCACCACCTCTCGGACTCAGAAAATCAGGGCAGAACAAGGCGAACAAAACGTGGCTGTTGCAAAAGAATATTATGCCCTCCGCTATTCGCATTGCTGTTGCCGTCTTCCCTGTTAGACGCGTCAGCATTAGGTCTCAAAGCTCCTCTTGATCCCTTCGCGATTCTTCAAAAACACTGTGATTTGAGTGTCTGAAGAAGGCCAGTGCTTCCCCGATTCTGGCCTGGGGTGCCCCGTACACACTGTGCATGGGTCCACAACTGCCCCGACAGCCACAGGAAGGCGGCACAGTAAGCTCCGCACCACAACCGCCGTCAAAGCAACGGGTGCAGGCAGACGTGTAAACATGAGAATCCACCTGAGCTGGATTTTTGTGAATTTTTCAGGATCGGGAACACTCACAGACCTTCAAACATCTGGAAACATGGTCGGGAAGTAGATGCTCGGTGGACAGACATCAAGGTGTGTCGATACCACATTTCAACTGCATGTCTTCTTGTCTCCAGGCTCCCAGCCGCCGTGCTGGAGAGTTTGCCAGCAAACGGAGGTGTTCCAGAGAGGCTTTGAGTCCTGCACTGCAATCAACACTCCTTAATATTGTTCACCAGCCGAGTAGGGAATAAAGCCTGTATTTCCAGTATGTTTAGGGTAACCATGGGCCTTTGAAATAGCCCTTCGACTGTTGACAAACAGCTCCCAAGCCTTGGACAAATGTCACCCTTGCATGCAGGCCCGTAGCAGGTTGCAAATTATACAAAAAATGGACAGCTGAGGCAAGATAGTGCGCAAGACCGCGCAAGAGTTCCTGAATGGAGCGGACCAGAAGAGGGACTGAACTTTTCTGCATTTTTGCAAGGTAAGCTTCCGTGGCAGTGCAAGAGTAGCGCTTGGGCTGTTAAATGCAGGCTCCCTACCGCACATGCCCAAAGCCCAACACGTCAACACGACAGACCTACCTCTTCAAATGGGTGGATGTCAACATTATGGTCCCTTTTTGGGTCCTTATGATAATACGGCACCTAATATTTAGGGTACCCAAAAAGGGACCATAATTTTGACAACCACCCAAATACATGGCCTGGCCTCGCTTCACAACCTGCAAGCGCGCAGCCGCAGTTTCGGCAGCCAGCACGTCCGCACGGAGTTCGGGTGCGACCCCAAGGGGCGGCAAAGGGTTCAGCAGTGCTGCCTGCGGAAGTTCCGAAACTCGGAGCTTAGGACCCCTAAACCCGTAATAACTAAATCCTAAACCCACTCGGAGGCTTGGATGCGTTTGTCGGGAGCCTGACAAGATCCTGAACCGTTCTCAGAAGATTTTGGCAAACGTCAAACTGCTGCAGCCTAGTATCCCATAGTTGAAGTTCTTTCCGGATCCGCCCTGGGTATGCATCCAACCCCTGTTGACATCATTACCATTGTTGTGTGCCGAGGCTCTGCCCAAAGCGCCATGGCTCCTTCATCAGCGGTCGCAGGAGGGACTGCAACCCGCTACAAACCGCTACGGCTCGGCCGACGCACCTCGTAGCAATCACGGCACAAACTCCTACAAGTAGGAAACAGAAGCCATCAGTAACTATACCTCGCGATGTGGTAATGCTATGGAAACAATCGTCGTGATGATAATTGTCATGAACAGCACTAGTATTCGTAGAAAAAGTGTGGCTGTCACCATAGCAATTGTATTCAGAGTAGCAATAGCATCAACTCGCTTCGGCTGCAGCAGAAGCGGTCAAAGATTCCCACCGCCATTCCGTGCCCCGACATCCACATCCCCTCCTTCAGCACGCCAAGGATTGGACACAGGCGCCAGCGCCAGGTTATGTCCCACGCAGGAAAACCAGCAGCAACAGCAATAAGAACAAGTGTGGCAATCGTTGCCACTGTAACACAGAAAGAATACCAACAGCGACTGTAGCACGACCTGAACTACTGAAAGTATGACAGCAACACCAATCACAATCAAAAGCTGGCGGCAAGACTATCCAGGGCAGAATCCATACAAGTAGCCCGAATGGCAACCACCACCACCACCACCACCACCACCACCACCACCACCACCACCACCACCACCACCACCACCACCGTCATCATCATTATCATCATCATCATCATCATCGTCCTTGGCATTGGCCACATGACAAAGTTCATGACAACCGACATCTTAGCAGCAAGGACAGTCATATGAATCTACAAGAGGCTCAGACAATGCTTGCAAAAAGCAATACAGACTGCAGTAGCGACTTGGGCAGCAAACAAAGGCATCAACAACATCTTCTAGACTAATCACAGACATGACAGCAAAATAGAAGTGCGTCGAAGGCAATACAACAACAGCAATGACGACAAGAACAACGGTGCTAATCGCCACTACCGGAAAGAAAGCAGAAGAGTACTGATGACAATGAAGACAACCCAACCTCTACTGCTGCTTCTGGCACGACGACGACTACTACTATAGTGGCGACCATGACGGAAGAAACATGGAGAGAACAGCGATACATGAAACGGTGCTCCTGGCTGTGTGCAGGGGGGTCGTGGGCCAAGCTGTCGTAAGATGCCCTCGAGCTGGTGTGGCCGCTCAGCGCGGACGAAGCCCTCCAAGGCTGTGTGCAGGTGGAGAGGCCAGGGGTCTGTCCCGATGTACCTAATGATTCCTAATGTAGAGGCCTGAATAATTAGAATAGGGTTTGGGTGTATGTCATAATACTATAATTTTGAAGGAACCCGCCAAAATAGTACTGGTAGTTATTTATGCACCTCTGTTAGACATGCTGCAGCTGGCCGCCTGCCACTCCTCCAATTCCGGAAGAAGAGATTCCGCCGTTTCTACCTGCATTCTCGGTATTGCGCTGAAAAATCCAGCACGGCAGCCAGTGTCCCTATGTTCCCGAATCCTGGGGCATTCTGAAGTCTGGGACGCTCGAGCACTGCCAAGCCAACATTCAGCAATTGTCAGCATGCGAAGATTCAAGAGGCTGCCCGTCCAAGCCTGCCCTGCTCGACTCCATACTCCTGCTTCACTCTAAAACCCTAAACCCTAAACCCGTAACCCTGAACCCCAAACCCTAAACCCTAAACCCGTAACCCCAAACCCTAAGCCCTAAACTCGTAACCCCAAAGCCAAGCCCAAACTGGAAGGGGACCGCATGCCTCCTCGGAGGCGGGCACCTGTCACATTGGCCCCGCTGGCAGAGCAGTGCAGGGCTCTTGGGTCGCTTTGGATCCAGACCGGCAAAGCTTCAAGAGTAGGGTTTTGGGGCCCATTATGCTATAATTATAGAAAGATGATAATAATCATAATAATAGCAATAGTAATAATCATAATAATATGATAATAACAATAATAGTAATAGTAATAACAATTATTACTACTAATGATAAGGAATAAGAAGCCCCCGAAATGGTAGTAGTTATTATTTAGGCCCCTACGGCCCTACGGTATTGATCATCTCACATGTCTGGTCGGGCTCGGGCTTTTCTTCGCCAAGCGGATTCTCCGGCGTTGCCTTTTCTGCGGAGGGAAAGCGGACCGTGGCCAAGAGGTAGCCACTTTCGTGGAGGCTGGCCTCCGATGCAAATGATGCGCTTGGTGCTTGTTGGGTTCGTCGTTCGGACGCAGACCAAGCCCTGCCGGCCTCCAAAATCTTAAATGGCCTGCTTGCGACAATCTGCAGCTGAAATCTGCCATCGTGGGTTTGTTCGCAGACCTGCACAAGGCTTCGGCAAGTGCATGTGCAACTGTTCTCCAGCTGCGTTCCTCCACTCATCTGCCTAGCTTGCCGATACACTGACGACGGGCGAACTCTGTCATGTGGTCAGGCCCGGTCCTCTATGACAGCTTCGACGCCGTGCTTCAGATGACTGCCACTGGCATCAAATCCTGCGAGCACAGTCGGGCTGGGGCTACGTTTCGACACCCGCTGCCAGCACTCTTACCATAAAGATGACGACCCAGTATGTATATAAACAGTTGAAAAGAGTAGACAAGAAAGGTAGCCACACTGGCACAATCAACACTCAATATTCGAAAACACAACGTAACACTGTCGACGCAGTCTAGAAAGTTGCCCTGAGTGCAATAAACGAACAAAAACACTTGCAGGCCGTGCGATTGCCCTGCTGTCTGTACGACTGACGAAGCCAGCAGTATCTATCTGTAGCAACGATGTTCAAATTGTATATTTGTCTATTTTAAATAAAAAAAATTTCTTTTAACAATAGCAAATCGGGCTCGAAGTCAATTTGACAAGGTCTAATACCAATCTGAGGGCTGCAAGCTGCAGCACCCACACTAATGCGTTTACCATATGCTTGAGCCACTTGCAGTGGCAAACGCAGCGGTGATTATAACATATTATAAGTTATTATAGTTCATACCAATAAGAGGTGCAGTTCAACAACGAACATCACAATGCGAATATCGCTTCCAGCCCAGCCCAGCCATCCTACGACTATCAAGAATAGCGGTTAGCAATAACGCAACTCACGAATATCACTCGTAAGCACGGCAGGCGCAACAGTATCTGCAATACTGGAACTACCGTAGGAGTAAGAGTAAGGCTTGTGGAAGTCTTGACAACATAGAACTTAAGCTAGTGGAGGTTGCGGCATCAACCCTAATGGCAGGCACCTGATCTGCTTCCTGCCAAAAGGCAAGCCTCAAGCTTCCAACTTCTGACACTCGCACCCAGCAGTGTCCGACCAAACCAAAGCGCCGACCGCTTTGCAGCGCAACGCGCACAAGCGCGCGATATCTGGCCGAGCGCAGAGCGGAGAAGGGGATGCGCTTTTGGCTCAGATAACACTGCCACATCATCATGATACTGTGACGTCACGATAGTAACAACGATAACAATACTGATCATCATACTACCATCTTGCTGAATCTTGCTGAAATGTGCCCGACTGAGGGCTATGTACGCGGTAGCCCAACCTTCAGACCGACATCCCAAAGCGAGTGTCTGTAGACAAAGGATTTGACAGGTACGAGCCCAGGCAACGACCACAAACAATAACATGCTGTGGCTGTGACGTACAATTACATACGATGCTCTACTCTAATGTACTTAGTATGTATTCTAATATACTGTAATTTACTATAACATACCTTACTACACTAGACTATGCTATACTGCACTATACTGTACAATACCAACAATAGAACGAGGACTACAACTTAACGACCGGCAGCTTCATAATCTCACATCACGACGAACAGAACCATCAATAGCGCGATCAACATAACCCCTTTATTCCGCATGACCCTTAACAACAGCAGCAACAACAACAACAGCAAGGTCCATACCCAGCCTCGGCTCGAAAACGTTCAAGTGCAGCCGCTGCAGTGGAAGAATGGATTCCAACACAAAAAGGGGCAGCTCCTGCTCAGCTGCTTCAAGCTCTCAGGACATGTGGCTGAAAAACCCTTTCGCAGTGCGGACTCCGACTTTCCAACCCTCCAAAACTCCAAGCTTCCCAAGCTCAGACCGCCAGTCAGCATGGAATGCTCTTTCTCGCATCGATGCCGAAGTGGGAGCCGCGGGTGTATCTCCATGTCCCGAAGTTCGGCCTCAACCCTCCAACACGACAAGAAACAAGAAGCAGTATGGATAGTAAACATCCGTGCAAGCTGGGCTGCCGTCCTTAGAGCAGAACAAGAACCGTGGTACCCTCGGGGCAGACTACGGCAAGCCGAATGCACGGCCGCCTGAAAACGCGTCAAAACTACCTACGAAAACGATATATCTTGCAAAGAGTTGCTTACAAGGGCCCGAAGTGTGGAACAGCGACGGATGCTCCAGCATAAGGCTGACCCCGACAGCTTGGGCTTACGGCTTGGGGTTGAGGAAAGCAGGGGTTCGATTTTAGGATGTAGGGTTTAGGACCAGGATGGCTTGGGGTTCAGAGTTTAGGGATGCACATTTTAGGTTTACATTGGCTGCTCCAGTACGGGTTTCAAAACGGTTTAGGGTGGAGCATTCAGTGTGGGTGATTCAGTGACACTAAACTCTAAAAGCATGCTCACTGCAATGAACAGACTGTATGAGATCGGATCGATGTCGGGGAGTGGTCGAAGCTGGTCAATGCTGACCTGCACTTTTCCAAGGCCACGCCCTCCACCCCAGTGCCCTGAACTGATGGGTTTTTGGGTGCCATACATGAACTCCGGGTCCCATCACTGGGAGCATTACAAAGCGACCACAATCCCCTAAACCCTAAACTCTAAACCCTAAACCCACCAGCAGCTTCCTCTTGCCCCTGTCCTCATGACCATCCGACGCTGAGCCCTCTGTTTCAGGCTCGGCCGCAGCCTGCTCCAAAACCCCTTGATTAAGGAATAGACCTTAAATTATAATAGGATCCCTTGTATGATTTTAAGGTATATTCCCTAATTTAGGGGTTTTGGAGGCTCTGGGACCATCCCACAAGACCAAGGTATTCTACCTCACGAAAGGAAGGGGTTCTTGTCATGCCTTTTGCAATGCTTTCAAAGTCTTGGCCCTTTGAGGTCTTGGCTAACAACTCATCCGGAGAAGCGCCGGGATGCCGCCCCCAAAACGACATACGGATGGTAAGCACAAACACCATCATGTGTCATCATAGGTCCCTATCTCAACCTTCCTCAGTGGTAGCAATAAGCACCGTAAAGCCGTAAAGACACTCGCAAGAGAGATGTGTCTTTGCCTCAAGTATTCCGGAAAAGCTTCTCATGAGAAGTACAACAACTACAAAGAATATGCCGGAGAACATACAGGATCAACGCCAATTGAACTCACCAAGGATCAAAGGCAACGTGTGCAAACTCTGTGCCAAGATCCGTCAGGTTGAGTGCGCCTTCTCTGCTGCCGCGCGGCTTGCATACTCCTGGTGACAGCTTGCATGCACAGCTGGGCCGTGTACTGCAGTGCTACAGACGCAGTATACTCAGTGCACTGCTGCTCTGCACCACTGCCAACGGTGCTTTAGTTTTTGCAGTCTTGCGAGTCTGGTGACACCACCGACCGCTACTGCTACCACTACCATTACCACTTTTCTTTTGCTACGACTAGCAATACGTGTTTTGACTATGTTTTGATTGTTAATACTATTGCTACTACGACTACTACGACAACGACTACTACTACTCCTCCTACTACTACTACTACTACTACTACTGCTGCTACTACTACTTTTCACTACTGCGAATTGTTTTTACTAGTATTCGCATTATTACTAATATTATGCTGCTCCTGCTGTCGCTGCTACCACCACCACCACTAGCACTACCACTACCACTAGCACTACCACAACCACGACCACTCCAACACAACTACCACTACAGCTGTCGCTACCACCACCACTGCCACTGCCACTACCAGCTACCATTACCACTACCGCCACTACCACTACGACTACCACTACCTGCCGCTACTACTACTACTACTACTACTACTACTACTACTACTACTACTACTACTACTACTACTACTACTACTACTACTACTACTGCCACTACCAGCTACCATTACCACTACCGCCACTACCACTACGACTACCACTACCTACCGCTACTACTACTACTACTACTACTACTACTACTACTACTACTACTACTACTACTACTACTACTACTACTACTACTGCGACGACGACGACTACTACTACGACTTACTACTGCTAATACTGCTGCAACTACTACTCAATCGGTTCCCACTCCCAGAAGCTTCCACCCTGATACGATCTGCCTGTGACCTAGCCATTTGTCGCGGGCACCCTTTAATCTCGGACCTCTGGGAAGCGCTCGGCAAGGAGCGTCGCAAAGGCGGCGCAGGGTATCAAGTCCTGCAACGACAAATCCTGTTGATCCGACATTTTTGGCCAAAATTCTCGCGAGGTTCGAGGGTCCCTGGTGTATGGAGCATGAATGCACGGCTACCGATGTATGGCTGGATATGTCAGAACAACTGAAAACGCTCCCTATATATAACTACAGTATGCCAACGTAGATTCCTACACAGTGAAGACCACGTGCTGCACATCTCGAGGATACATGGACACCACAACCACCACAGGACCACAGGACCACCCCCACCGCCACCACCACCATCAGGGACCCAGAGCATGGACGAATCTGCGAGAATGCATGGGTTTTGTGAAGTGGGCGCATTTCTCTATCTATGCATGTCGCATTCGATCTAAACTTTTGGCACAAAGGTCACCACTTAAAGAAGGTCATGGTGTGCACGGGAAGGCCAGGGCCCTGCGCTAACGCAAGCCTTGCATAATCAGAAGAAACCTGTTGTGCATCAAACACCGGGAGGGCTTAGGGAAGCTGCGACTGCGGCGGTCAGGAGGACTCGTTCAACTTGTTCTGCCCGCCTCCTTGCTCGTCGCGTGAAGCAGCCTGAGGCTGTTTCGGTGAGTTCTTGGACCCATAGCTTCTTCCAACGAAGCAGCTGCACTACACTCTAAACTTCGAGTCGGGCAACTTCCGGCAGAGGGGGCAGCGCCGAGAACTGGGACCACGGTGGAGGCAGTCGACCAGGCAGGCCCTGCAGAACCTGGGGATACAAGGAGGCTTTATGCCACTGAAGCGATGTGAAACGAGAGCAGCTTGCAAAACACGATTTCTGAGATCAGAGCGCATGTGAGCAGGGCAGCACCACTGGTTCGTAAATCAGCTCGTGGCACAAAGCGCAAACAAAGTCCTTCAAGCATCACCAAGGTGACAAAACTTGCTGCAAGCTGAACACAAGCCGATACTGCAGCCATGATGAACTGAACAAGCTACGGGCGCGTGGCTCCATCCCAAGTTTAAACACTGCAAGATCCTTTGCCTGCAGGATCTGACATCAACAACCTGGGAAAGACTTAACTACTTCAAGCTTGTGCACCTTGCGGGGAGCAGAGTTGTAACCACCGGCATTGCAAAGTCTATATTGCGAAAGTCCTCGTTGGTCGACATTGCGCAACAGCAGCCAAGCTCGACAGGCAGTATGCCCTAGCTTGAAGCTTAAGACTGTTGAAGTGCTCCATGTTTGGAAACGCGTGGCATCAAGCCGCACTCGAGAGCATGCCTACACCGCCTAAATAGGCTGTAAAGACATGGCGCTGCTATGCGGGTGCCTTCGCCAGCTTCAGAAAAAGGCTCGACTATGTTTTCAGGAATCATCTCCTATGGATCTCGGCATGTAACAGATCGGCTGCAAGACGGCGAGAAGAACATCTTGCATCACTGCATATCTACCTGTTGTTCTCGTTTTTTGTATGCGCATGTGTAATTTTATATATGTATACACACAGAATTCGGCATATACGAATACACATGTGCATATGCATGTGAGGATGTGTGTATACATATATATATATATATATATATGTTAACTGTATATGCGTACAATTGTGTGTATGTGTATTCTGTATATATAATATGCATATTATGCAGATAGACGTGCAGGCATGCAAACATATACACACATACAATCATGTGTATTCATCTATATATATATATATACATATATACATACACATACATATACATACATATACAGATATACACACCCGAACAGGGGTATGTGTGCGTGCGTGCGCAGGCATATGTATATGTGCACACATGCTTCTGCATGTGTTTATGTATGTATGGTTATGTATGCATGCACTTTTGTATGTATATATGCATGTATGCATGTATTTCTGTATGTGTGTGTTTTCAGGTACGTATGTATGTATGTATATATGTAGGTGTGTCGTTATATGTATATGTATATGTATCTAGACGTAGGTATGTAATGATGCATGTATGTAGGTAGGTTGGTTGGTAGGTTGGTAGGTTGGTGGGTTGCTAGGTTGGTGGGTTGGTAGGTTGGTAGGTAAAAATAAAAATATACTGTATATATATATATATAGTATGTATGCACATGCAGAAACATGCATGCATGCACGCATATGCATTCATACACAGTAATGTGCGTAATACAGATGCAGCACATACACACCTACACACCTGCACATAATCATGCACGTATGTATGTACAGAAATACCAGCATACATGCGTTTATACTAACATGCATATGTTATGATGGGTAAGCCTCCGTGCGTTATGCTGATCTCGGCGCCAAAACCCCTTCTCCTCTACTTGCACCACTTTCACCGGATCAATGCAGAGGCAGGAGCTTTGCGGAGAGGCTGTGCCGGTGCAGCCAAGAACCGATCAAAGCCCCACAGCAAATCCCATGCCCCACAGCAACGAACAAACCGCGTCTGCTGAATCATGGCTTGGCCAGAGACAGCGACGCTCTTGAACCATGTGTTATGGCGCTGCAAAGCTACACTTACATGCTGCTTGACTGCTCTGCCTTTCGGGCTGCCGCACATCTGGAAGACCGTCAAGTTGAAATCTTCGCCGGAGACATGCGCAAGAACCCCACAAAAGAATAAGGGTACTACTGGGCATCTTAGGATTTAGGGTCTACTTCGACTCGCTTCCAGCTGTGAGGTTTTTGCAGCGGTCGCAGCAATCCAAACCTCTGGGCAGAGCCCGCCTGGCCCGGTTCCGCATCAGACGCGAGAGGCCTCGCGTTCGCTTCAAGTTGGCGTGCTTATGAAGAAATACAGAGGCACTAGTTACTAGTAACGCATCATCAACAACACCAGCATTGCGAGCACCATCACGGTCAAGGCCCAGATCCCAAATGCTAACCTCTCAACCCTAAACCCTAAACTCCCTAAACCCTCGACCCCAAGCCCTAAGCCCTCAGCCCGCAACCCTATTCCCTGAAGCCTACGCCCTACAGCCTGAATCGAATCGCAACTAACACCACAGGCCCGCCTCAGAGCTCCCAGAAGGCGGAGAGGCGTTTGCCAAAGGCGACGCGACAGATTGAACCTGGCAGCTCTGAAGAATCGGAGTGAAGGGTTTGGAAGTTTAGGGTTTTCGGGCTTGGGGCTTGGGGTTTAGTAGCGTGAAGCATGGGAGTGCAGGGCAGAGAATTTAGGATGTTGTTTTGATGCAGTGGCCTTTTCTCGCGTCAAGGATCCACCACTCTGGGTTTAGGGGTTAAGGGTTTCAGGTTCGGGCTCAGGGTTTGGGATTTTTGGGGGTGCGGACATGCGGGCTGCACAGACTCATTTAGACTTTGTTTGCGTGCACTGCGGGTTTTGGGACTCAAGCTTGCATGCTGCATGCAGTTGCCAGAACTCCATGCAGCCTTTTGCAAACGAAGCCTCGTTTCCCCTGCGGTCTCACGGTATGGTGCACTGCGCCCAATTCCAGACAGAATCACAGAAGTGAGCAACCTCTCTATGTTCATCGGATTAAGAAGATTCCGAACCCCACAACAAACGAGCTGCATTCCATGGCGGCGAGGGTGGTGCTGGCACGAGCAGCGTGGGTGCGGGAGCCTTGAGGGCGCAAGTCACTGCTTGTGGGCAAGTTTTCTTCTGTCTGAGAGTCAGAACCCCGAACCACGCGAGACCACGACAACCTCCAGAACTACCACAAACAGAAACGCAGCCACCACAACATGCAGCAAAAAAAACTCCACACTGTTGTCAGTTGCAAAGTCCAACAGCATGATAGGACGAGTTGGTCACCTTCCGCTCCTTCCACAGATTGGCAGCCGATGCACGTCTTGCCCTTTTTGCCTCTCCTATTCACTCAACTTCGAAACAAACGCTAAGCCCTATTAATACCCTAAAACCGTAAAAACAAAAAGAAAAGCGAAGCAGCTCCGAGCCTCGGCTTTGGTCCAATGCGTTTCGCTAGCCTCGCTAAGGTTTGGGCTGGATTTAGAGGCCTGACTTAATTGGGGCTCGGGGTGTCGAAACTCCGGCTCTCCTATGCCGGTTGAGGGAGGCGCAAGGCTTGGTAGTGGGAGATACCGCTTGGCATGGAAGTCAGCTGTTCGGCGCATCTAACTAGCCGTCAAGCCAGCACCCTGCTACACCACAGCCCCATTCGCCGTGTCGAAAGCCTGACGACAATTGCCTGCTAGGGCAGACAGCATGGCAACCGCGCACTGCTTCAGGTCGACAGTGCCACAAGGATCCTCCAAACCGCGGCTAGACTTTCTACAGCGGCTTCCTGCTCGTGTACCCCGCCCCTCTCACGCCCATCCACCCCGCCGGCCTCTGCGCGCTTCGCTCGTTCTTCGAGCGTCTGGCGCCTGCCACTACGTGTTCGTGAGCTTGGGACCGGTCCGAGCAAGGCTTCCACGGTTTCGACTCGGCACAGATGCACTGCGAACTGATGACAGCTGGCACAGGCCCTCAAGATCTTGGATCCAACCACGGCTGAAAACTGTATCCCGAGGCCACTTACCAATGCACGCACAAGCATAATCACCTTTGAGTGGTTTGCCGCGTATCGCCTGCTGCCTTCGCAGTGCCGGCACCCCACTTCCAACCTACACTGAAAGCTTCTATCCTTACTGACATTGATGAGAACCAAGGGCTGCAACACCAAGACTCAATACATAGCCCCCATATACTTGCACTTCTATCCACTCCAGACCTTGCGCTAAATCTATTCACCCTCAGCCCCTAAGACCCTAAACCCTACATCCTAAACCCAAACCTTAAAGGCAAAGCCGGCAAAGGCTCCAAACCCTCAGGCCCTAAACCCCAACATCCCCAAACCCTTCCTACTCCCAAGCCGTAATCTGCGAGCTCGCGGCCGCATCTCTGCATAGCGTTTCGGGCCCCGGCTGGGCCGCTGGGTACTCACCGACGAACCTCCGGCGCCGGAGGGTTTGGAGTTTGGGTTGTTCCAAGGCGTGGTCATTGAGGACCTTTCAAGGACCCTTTATAGAGGCCTGACGCCCCCCCTTAAGAGCGCGTATTCTAGGCAAGACAGGTGCTTTCGGACATTTCGGCAGTCAACAGGCTCGGGTCCGACGGTAAAGATTGCTCTTCCGGTCTCGACGCCTAGACAAGGCAGCCCTCGACGGACCCGAAAGGCCCTAAACCGGCTCGGGCCTTGCGACTCTGAGCGAATGCTGGAGCCCGTCGGCTCCTTCGGCTGCTCGGCCTGAAGCTCCAAGGCTTCCACTCACGGTAAGCTAGGATAGGGTTTTGAGGTATAGTATATTATATAAACATATAATTAAGAGGGTTTGGCACGCTTAAGGTTTAGGGCCCCTCCAAGGTGGCCATCCAGTCAGAGGACAGTAGAGCCTCCATGCCTCGAGTTTGCATGTCCTTGCCCTTTCGTCCGCTACATCGACTTCTGTACATCCTTCTTTTCCCCCTCTCGCGCTCTCTCTCTCTCTCTCTCTCTCTCTGCCCCTTCCGGTCTCTCTGCCTGCGCGGCAAGCATCTGTCTCATTCGACACAAGACACAAATTCGCGTGTGGCCGAGGCCAACTCACAAGCCAAGCATCCCGCGAGTATCGGAGATTGTGAACGCGGAGTTTCTCTTTGAACTCCCTGTGACAGTGCACGCGCTGTGACATCTGACCTCAGAACTCGCTCAGATTGGATCGAGGGCTGCAGGCAAGTCGGGCCACCATGCAAGTAATTTGGAGGGGGGCCTGGCATGTCTATCTGTCTATCTACCTATGTGTATGCAGATGTCTATGACAGTCTATGTGTATCTATCAATAACTACATCAAAACAAGTTAGAAATATCTATATATATATATATATATCCATGCCTCACGACTTCGCTCAGGCTTGCAAGTGCTCAGGCTGCAGCCGCAGTTCGGAAAGCGCCGATGGCTTCTGCCCAAGCGTGGGCGGCTCCTCCTTGCGATGGCTTGCCCGGGTGAGACGCGGAAAACGCGGATGCGCTGACTGCTTGCAAACAAATCCACCCGCCTGTGGCTGCTGCAACTGTTTTGCCGTCTCGTACTTCAACGCCTCTGCGCCAGAGAGATATGGATAGCGATGGAGATGCGGATGGGAAGGCAGCTCTTGCCCCGGGTGCAACTGCACCTTTTCTCCTAGCTACTTCGACATTTGATGTCAGTTAGCTCACTTGTGAAAAGCGTGAACGCCATCCATTCCTCCGTGAGACAGACACCTGTAGTTGGCAATCCTTGCCAAGTACAAGTGCGAAACAGTTTTCGCGATTGCACAGTGATGATCAGCATTGTGCAGGTTTTTGCTGAAGACTGGGAGGCAGGGGGGCTTAGCGAGGGATACAGCCTCTGTGCACGACCCAATGGCCAAGTCAATAAGATGTTGCTCCACTTTTGCCAGCAAGAATAGCGAGAACAGCGATCCGATATGAAGGACACAAAACCTCATAGTCGTAGAGCAGTCGTAGCGGTAGTAGTAGTAGTAGTAGTAGTAGTAGTAGTAGTAGTAGTAGTAGTAGTAGTAGTAGTAGTACTAGTAGTAGTAGTAGTGGTAGTAGTAGTAGTAGTAGCAGTAGTAGTAGTAGTAGTAGTAGTAGCAGTTTTAGTCGTAGTCGTAGTCGTAGTAGCAGCAGTAGTAGTAGCAGTAGCAGTAGCAGTAGTAGCAGTAGTAGCAGTAGTAACAGTAGTAGCCGTAGTAGCAGTAGCAGTAGTAGCAGCAGCAGGAGCAGGAGCAGGAGCAGGAGCAGTAGCAGTAGCAGTAGCAGTAGCGACAGCAGTAGCAGTAGCAGTAGCAGTAGGAGTAGCGATAGGAGTAGTAGTAGTAGTAGTAGAAGAAGAAGTAGAAGTAGAAGTTGTGGTAGTGGTAGTGGTGGTAGGAGTTGTTGTTGTGGCGGTGGTAGTGGTAGTGGCAGTGGATGTGGCAGTGGCAGCTGTAGTGGTAGTGATTGTCGTTGCAAGAGTAATAGTAGCAGCAGTCGGAATAGTGGTCTTAGTCTTAGTCGACAGTCGCCATTAGTAGCATCCTCATTATGATCGCGATTATGACAACTGTCATTATTATTACCACTATCGTTACTGTTATTGTTACAGTATGGTACTATTGCTACTTTTGTCCTTCATGTTGGTAATACCGTTTGTTCATATTACGGCTTAACAGTGATATGAACATTCTAACTTTAAGTACCATTTTGGGGGCTGGCTACTTACTACTAGTATTATGATTATTGTTACCATTCTTGTTGTTATTGTTGCTATTAGTATTGCTATTACTATTGTTAGTATGATTATTCATTGCTCTCATTATTATTAGTATTATTATGATTCTGGTATTATTATTATTATTACTATTACTATTGCTATTACTATTATTATTATTATTATTTTTTTTTTTACTATCCCTATTATTACTGTGGGCCTGCTCCAGGAGCTGTGCCAGGGAGCCTCGGGAGGCTGCAAAGTCCGCCTCGCACCGGACGGCGCCGGGGTCGAGGTGAACTTCAAAACTCGGTGGTAGGGGTTTAGGGTATAGGGGTTTAGGGTTTAGGGCTTTGGGGTTGGGGTTTTTTTTATGGGGTTTAGGGTATAGGGGTTTGGCGTTTAGGGCCTTGGGGTTGAGGCTTGAGGCTTTAGGGTTGAGAGTTTAAGTTTGAGGGTTTTATAAGGGTTCAGCAAACGGGCCACCACTGTCAAAACCTTGAACATGCAACGGCCCACAGCTCGAATTCCACAGCCCCTTAACCTTGATGGAATTCCACGTTCCTAACCCCAGCCTGGGGGAGATCCCCCCGGCCTGGATTCGATCCACGTCTGCACGCTCACGGTTGGGAGCTTCTGACGAGGAGCCTTGCGCGACCACCAGATCATGCTGAGCCACGGACCTTCTGCTGATCTCTCTCAAGCAACATAAAAGCATCTGAACCGTTGAGACCTACCGGGTGTAGAGACAACCCCAACCCCCCAAACCCTACCCCCTTAGGCCCTTAGAGGTGTATTCCCTTCAAAGGTTTATGTCTTCGGTGCCTTTTCGGTGGCCCCCAACTCTCGCCTGAATCGCTCGGCTTGCCGCGTGACTCCGAGGTCTCCGGAATGGCTGGGCCCCTGCAAGAAGCTTGGGAGTTTCCGAAAATAGGGGGGGGTCCTTGTAATACGGAGCCTTCTATTTAGGTACTATATTAGGACGTTTACAGTAGGGCTCAGACAGGGAATGCTTCAGGTTCGGAGAAGGGCTTTTGTAAGGGTTGTGTAGGAAAGTGATTATGTCCTTTTCTTCGTTTCCCCGCTATCAGTTGTTCTTCTATTCATTCTTCATCGTTCAAAGAGCCAATCGAAACGAGGATGCTGATTGCGGAAAACTAGCCTTTTCGGGGTGGTTGCAATTTCTCGGTCCCCTCTTATCCATTCTTTCAGTCTTCTCGTCAGAAACTGCAGCAAGCGAGGAGGAAAACAAGAACAACGGCAGGTGAAGGGAGAGACGGAGGGAGGGAGACAGAGAGGAAGAGAGCGAGATAGAGCGAGACAGAGGGCGGGAGAGAGACGGCAACAAGAAGCGAGGCATGAGAGATGGTGCTTTCCCTCTCTCCGTTGCTTTTGTGATTTTCTTGCTGCTCTCATGGAGGTGAAGGATGGAAAGGTGAGATCTCCATGCTGCCATACCCATGACTTGAGGTCTCTTCAAGTCGCATTTCACTCCACATCCCCTGTCAGAGAGCCAGTCAAAGGGGAACGAGGTGGATGCTCGAGAAAAACCCGAAACCCTAAACCCTGTTCCCACTCTCCCTGTCCCGCTCTCCCTGCTGTTCTTTGCTTGTGTGGTCTGGAAGTCCAGAGGCTGAAGAGCAAAAAAGCGAGAAAGACAGAACAGAAAGCAAGAAAGCTTCGGGAGGATGTCCCTCCTTTCGAAGATCATCACTACTGCTTGTTATATCGCATATTCGCACCAGAAAAGGGAGGAAAAAAAGGAAGAAAGTACAGGAGCCATGAGACCTGGACATGAATAGACAAGGAGGGGGGAGCGAAGAGACAGCGAGTAGTGCTCCGGCTCCCTCGCCCTAGCTTTGTTCATCCCCGTCTCATTGAAGGAAGAAATGTAAAAGCTCTTCTGCGCTGGGTTCTTAATTTCTGCCTGTCCCTTTCTCTCTCGCTCTCGCTGCATCCGAAGGTAGAGGGGTTCCACTCTGCATCTGTTCTGCGCGTTGAAGCCGGCAAAGTACAGGAAACAAAGGAACTGATGAAAGCAATATAACTCCTATCTTAGTCCTCTCCCTCCCTCTCCCGTATGTTTGCCGGTGCCTTTAGTCTTTATCTTACTGCTCCGTCCATAAAAGTCCTGACCTTGAAAGACCGAACGGATATACTAAAGTTCCAGTGATCTGTGTATACCTCGTCACCTTTCTTGCATTGCATCTTCAGATGTGACACATGAGTTATGAAAACAAAGTCATCTGCCTCCGTCACCATACCGTCTCACAACGAGTGGGATGGCCTCTCGACCACCCGTTGATGCACACTTCTCTCAACATGACCCGAGAGTTTAGACCCAGGCAGGAGTTAGGGCATGTCGGGCCATTGTAAACCCAAGACTGAAACCCAAACCGGCATCAACTTGAAGCCTGCATGTCTAGAAACCAAACAGCAGCCTTTCACGCTTCTCAATCGGAGCACCCTTGCACAAGAACGCCTTCTAAAGCGAGAGAGGTGCCTGGCACAGTCGAGTTTCGTCTTCAGCAGCTGCTCCCGGCTGCCCTGACCATACATGCGCGTCACAATCCTTCTAGTGCCCTTTCGAGTTTTAGCGTATGCAAGACTCGTCTTGTAGTAACCCGTTTAGTCCTCTGAAAATACGTAACCTCTATCGCCAACATGCAAGGAAGCGGTACTAATCAAAGAGGCCAACCGCCGACAGACTGGGGAAGTCTTCCTGATGGTACATGCAGCATTGCAGCCAAAAGAAGGCGTACGTGTGGGCAAAACAGCTCAGTAGCTTTGCCACAGTTGGGCAAGTACGCAACTGCGTCCCGTTAGTGCCGGCCTACATGTCATCCAACTTGTAGCTTAGCATGGCACTGAAGCGTGAAGCTAGTTGAAAAGTACACGGTACAAGGAGTTCGGGCTGCTTCGGAGGCTATCTTCTGGGATCAGCTCGCAAGTCTGGGTCGACTAGCTTGTGCCTCGTTGTGCTGACTGTGATTTCTGTTGTAGTATTTTGGTAGATCTTGGTTTCTGAGCTACATTGAACTACGGAAACCTGCGAAAGCGTACTCGACCAAAATTCTGCATCACTACATCTGGGGTACCTTATTTGGGTCCATATAATAAGGATCCTGCTATTTAGGGTACTATATTAGGGTCCCTATTTTCGGTGCCTTGGAGGTCTTGCGCCGCACTTTCGCCACGCCATCGTTGGGCTTCGGTGTGCTCTCGGCACGTTGGCAGAGTGCCTTTTTGAAGGCCCGAAGGGTGTGCGTTGTCCCCTAAACCCACACCCCTTGAGCCCTAATCCTCGACCCTACACCCCTGAACCCCAAACTCTAAACCCTAGAGTTTTGGCAGCTTCGCTTCGTTTGTATAATATGCAGGGCTGATGGCTGCAGAGTAATCTTGGCCTTGGAATTCAAAGCGTAAGGCTTGCAAAAGGGTTGCTGTACAGGTTACTGAAGCGGACACATAGGCGGGAGCTCCAATGCCACGGAGCTAAGCTCAACCCTGATCTTCTTCCAGCTGAACTTAATCCCTGTCTTGAAAAGAACCCCAACCCAAAAACACCTGAAGGAACGTCTAACAGCCTCGAAAACCCCCCAAAAAGAAACCCTGAACCCCAACATGCCCTTTTGAAGCCCCTCCATCCCTCGTTCTCTCTTCAGGAACATCCTCCCCTGGGGCCTCCGTGGACGCGAGGAGTTCCTCGAAGCGAGCCTCACGGAGAAGCGGAAGATCTGGGGGGCCCGTTCTGCACACTTCTGTAGCAATTTTCAGCGCTAGGTTTTGAGGGAAAATCCAGGGCTGAAGGCTTAAGGCTTAGGGTTTAAAGGAATTTCGGACTTCTGGGCATTCGCATCTGCTCCAAGCCGAAGCTTGCAGGCGTTACCTTGGAGTTGCTTCTGCATTGACCAGGTGTTTGACTGAAGATGGGCCCTGAAACATCGAAGCTTCCTACTCACCAATTAGAGCAGGGTTTTAGGACAATTACAGCATATCTATCATCGCGGACCACATGTTCGTGCTATTCTTTGTAGTGCAAGTCCATCCGACATCGTTGGGCAACAAGAGCTGTTTGCCATTTCCCGCGGTCCGGAAGGGTTTACGATCGGCCTATGATATGGGCTTGCTCGAAGCGCTTCTTTAGGGATTACGATAAGAGACGAGAGCCTCGGTTGCATCGCTGAAGCGCTGCAGCTCCACCTGGACATCGCGCCTGAGAACTGCACAGGATGTCTCTTCTTGCGGTGATGCCGAGGCGAGCTCACGAAAGCTTGGGTTCGACTGTTGAAAGTTTACTGTTCAGTGTCATGTCGAACTATGACTAACTATGATGATCTTCGTCAACTTGGTACAACTTGAAGATCTCAAGGACAGCAAAACCCTCTATCACTCTCCGTAGCTCCACGCATGTTGTAACATTGCTCCTCACGCGAACGAGGCCGACGTCTAAACTGATGGCTGACCAGAACGTTAACGTCGTCCTTGATTCCAGGTCTCAAGCTTGTCGGGCGCTGCGAGCACATCTCAAGCCGAGCGATAATCGATCCACATCGTATCCACAACATCAACACAAGGGCTACAACATGGATACAATAAGATCATAAAGCTCCTATGTTGATGCCCGATCCTCGAAACCCTGAGCGCGACCCGAAAATCAGTTCCTAAACCCCTACAAACAACTTCACACTCGAAACCCCAAACTCGCAGCTGAAAGCCCTCATCAACGCTCTTGGGTACAAGAAGCCAGTCAAATGCTCAAAACAAATCAGGCAGAATTATATAAGGACGCCTAAACAAACATTGACAAACCCGAAACCCCCAACCCAACCCTTGGAACCTGTTTCTTTCCGCCCGGTAGCTGCAGCTCGGAGAGCTCGTAGATCTCCGCGCCGGGCATCGGAGAACCCGAGGGGCGAACCCTGGGTTCAGTCAGAGGTGTAGGGTTTCTTGAAGGGCTTCTGGAAAGGTTTAGGGTCTCAAATGCAGGGACTTAGGGGTTCCAGAAGGGCTTCAGGGCTTCAGGGCTGCTGGACTTCGGGCCTCATCTTACTTGCAAAAACACATGTGTATATGCTATAGACCTCCATATTACATATACGTATAGGTTTACACGGATTTATTTATATATATATATATAATATGTATATACACATACTTCTTTCTTCCGTCGTCGCAAAGAGTTTGCGACACATACCGAGTTTGCGACATATACATGTACGTATACAAATGAATGTACGTATGTATGCATGCACGTACTCTATGTGTATATATATATATGTATATATATATATATATATGTATATATATATATGTATATGTAGATATACAGCCTGAGATAGACAACTGGTCTTTCCCTTAAGTACTTGTTTGAACACTGTGCTAGGCGGGCTGGAAGGCTCTGGGAGTACCTGAGATATGGCAAGTTCATAGATGCACTGTAAACAAAAGAGCTATGAGGCTCCCGGGCTCTACAAACCTTTTGAAACATCAAGACGAGTCAACTCCGATAACCCACAAAAACCCTAGCAGACCCCAGACAAGGACCCTACTCCAACCCCGGATAGGAACCTAAGACAACCAGAATGCAGTTAGCGGCTCAGTGCTCGGAAGCAAAGGGCTCAAAACATTCGACGCCCGGCGCCCTCAAACGTTGATTCGAGCTTCTGCGACCTAGAGCTTGAAGACTCTAAGATCTAGGGGCCAAACGGACACATCCGAAGCCTTAAAGGCCCTAAGCAAAGCCCAAGTGCCCCAGTAAGTTTGCTTGAACCTTCGTTTGTATCTTCACCTTTCCAAGGGGCTCGGAAGAGCCGTCCATGACCTCAAAGACAAAGCTCTTTTTCTCAATGTGGGAGTTTCCGAATATCTGGGGTACCTTATTTTGGGTCCATATAATAAGGATCCTGCTATTTAGGGTACTATATTAGGGTCCCTATTTTCGGAAACTCCTATGTGCCGAAGAAGGCTGGGAGCTTCGAGTTGAGGCTTGAGGTCAAAGGAGCTCCGGTCCACTGGAGAGTCCCGGATGCCAGAAGAAAACCCTCTATTGAAGTCTCTGCACGACCTCTCGGTTGCATCCCAACAGCTGGAACGAAAACACTCCCGGGTTCACAAAGAGACATACGGAGCTTCATGAAAATCATCAAGTCAGCACCTGGAACTGTCCCCGGGCTGCCGGATCGCCTGGTACATGTGTCCACACGCTCGGAGCGAATCAGAGAGCGAGGGAGGGAGAGAGCTGAAGAGAAAGACAAGAAGAGCATGTATATAACGTGTGTATATATATGTATCTAAATGGGAGCCGCACAGGAGAACATGGCATGCAAGGCCATTAATTGTTTCAAGGGTTGGTGCTTGCAGCATGGAGCGGGGATAACCTGCTTGCTAATTCATTAAAGGGATTAGCCAGATCACCCAGCACGAACACTGGTTGCCCAACTTCATTGAAATTCGGCCGGAGGAACGAGGAGTGATAGGGCGGCAAATTCGCGGAGCCAGGAGTCTGCCACACGAGGCTCTGCGCAGAGAGCCTGCCATGTTATGTGAGCGCTTTGTTTGTCTATCTGTCCGTCTCTCCTTGTGTCTGTCTCCGCAGGTGCGAGTTGTGTTGCCGAGAACCCCAACCCTCCGCAAAACACTTGAATCCAATCTCGTCTGCTCGCCCCACGCCCCCAAGCCCACATCTCTTCCACAACCAAGCTCGGCCCGTGTGGAGAATGCGCCAGTGATTCCACTAGGAGAAGTGAAGTCCACTTGTCTGACATCACGTATCTTTAGCGGTGATGTACATGAGCGTGATGTACATGAGCTACTCTAGCCTTTACAGACAAGCATAGACAGCGCAGGCAACGATGTTTACAACAACAAACATCGCCATCTCGTAGACCCCCCCTCTCTCTCTTTCTTTCGCCAAGCTTGAAGGGCGAGCCGCCCGCTAGGGGCAGCCCGATGTTGGCGGGAAGCACTACATTAGGTGCGAAAGGTTGTCTCCCCGGGCCTGTGTTGGGCAGTACGTTACAGCGTGCATACCCACCTGTCTTCAGCAACACTTGCACATGCCCTCACTGCCTCGTCGTCCGAACGTCTCGCTCTCTCTCTCTCTCTCTCTCTCTCTCTCTCTCTCTCTCTCTCGCCAGGGCTATGGCGAAGGGGAAGTTCCCCTCTCTCTCTCTCTCTCTCTCTCTCTCTCTCTCTCTCTCTCTCTCTCTCTCTCTCTCTCTCCTTCCTCTCCATGTTTATCGTCATTCTCTGGCTAGGTTGATGAACTATGCAAGATACCTGTCTCCTTGTCCCTGCCTACCCGTACACCTGCTGCCACCAAGATGCCTACATGCATGCATGGATAGAACTAGAAAGACAAGCAATCCTGTCCATACGCACTTCTGCGCCTGTACATCTACTTCTACCTATAGATCTGCACTATGTACTTGTTAACGTCACGACTCGTTACTAGGTTTGCACCTGTGCGTCTCGGTCGTCTACATGCTCCTGATATACATGTTCATATCTTGACGCATGGTGCATGATCTGGCTTAACATACATGACACACGCCAAGCGCACGTGGAAAAGAAGACGTGCAGGGATGCATGTTCAGGGTATGCGGTTGTCTTTGTGCTCAGAGAGCTTGAGCTAGTTAGCTGGCCGGCTAGCTAGCTAGCCGGTTAGCTCGATAGCTAGGTGCCTCGATGGCTAGTCAGCTAGTTAGCTAGCAAGCTAGCCAGTTTGTCAGCTAGCTAGTTAGGCAGCGAGTTAGTGAGTGAGAGTTCGTGCGGTCTGCTTGTTTGGTTATCCCGTTATTCAATTAGCTAATTACTTACAAATCCGTATGTGGGTGGGAGGCATCACTACTTTAAGGATGATGTTAAGGTTCTGCTGCGCTGTACGAAGCCAGAGCCCGCATAACTAGGAAAAGACCTTGGATTCGACACGGTGATGCTACCATGTCGACACGCCAAAATGCCGTCTAAGCTTCGTGAGGCTCTCATGGTGAAAGGGGCTAGAAGTCCCGTCTCACAATACATCCTCAAAGCCCCCAATCCCCAAAACCCCGAAACCCCCGAAATCCCCACACCCGCAGACAGGACCCGACCGACCTCCGCCAAATCCAGGCCCCGGCCGGCCATAGGGCAGCCCCTTTGCCACAACCCTCATCTTTAATTTTATAATTTTTATTTCTTATTTTTATAATTTTATCATTGTAAGATTGAGCTTGGATGGGGGCTGGGTGGTTTAGAAATGCAGGGCTCTTTCGCCTGGGGGCTTGTCTGACGGCTTTTGGCTCCGGCTCCGATCGGAAGATCATCCGAATCGAGACAACCAGCCCAAATGGTGAGCTTCAGGTCCTGCTTTTGTTCGCCTCGTTTCGCTCGGCAAGCTTAGGGATCAGGGTTTAAGGTTTTGTGCGAGATGAAGTTGAAGTTCACTGGGCTCACCTTGTGTCAAGCAGTCCATAGGCCAATCCGGGCATCCACGCATCCCAGGAAACTGAGTTGAAGGACTTTGGGTTGTGTTGTGGGTTGAAGGTGTTTTGAGCTCTGGGGGCAGCATAAGGCTCCGAAAAGCAGATACGAGAACCCTAGGGCCTGGATCAACTGTGCTTTTGAGACGTCCTTACTGCGAACCTGCAGAGAAGGCTTTCGTAAGAGCAAAACCTGCAGGGTTGGCCCCGTGCAAGCCCCAGAGGTCCCCAGCTTCGGGCCTTGCAGAATTGGGTGACCCAACATCTCTTCGATATTCTCTATTCTATGATAGGTAAATATTATCCATTTATATTCTACCTCATATAACTACTATATGAACCCGGACTGTCTGAGACCAGCTTGGGGCGCGCACCGGTCACTGTCGAGGTACTCTGACAGCAACTCCTCCGCGCGCGGAGCAAGCCACACGCAGGCCTGGCAGTCGACTTGGAACAGCATCGAGGCAGCAGACAAGCTAAGCAACCTTATAGTAACGATAAACTAACCTTGTCAGTATAAGGGTTACTCTGGTACGACTTTGTGGCAACCACAAGGTAACCATGCCACAGCACTATCAGTGTAAGGATTACTATGTCGATGATATGGTTACGATGAAGTTACTCTATGATGACTTTCTGCTTGCTACATGGATACTAGCTACTAGAAGGTGGCTAGTAGGTTGCCATATAGTTACAGTTGCTATATGGCTCCTATGGGGTAGATTGCGCTCTGGCAAAGAAGTCCTACCTTCAGTGCCCTTAACCGGAAACCGTAAACCAAAGCGTTGGTCCCAAACCCCAAACCCAAAAGCCCCAAACCCTAAACTCTAAACCCTAGCAGCCCTAATCCCGAAGTACGAAGCACTAACCCCGAACCCCAAACCCAACAGCACACCCGGAGACCCGAAACCCTAAGTCAGGGCCTCACAGCGCCAGGCTGCCGCGCGCGTCAGGGCTGCAAAGAGCCAGGCCTTCCCAGGCAGCAACGAAGTTAGGGCTCCCGTTTTTGAACGACCCTTCTTCGATGTTTAGGGTTTAGGGGATGAAGGGATTAGGGGATTGGGGTTTGGGGTTTAGGGCTTAGGGCTTGAGGATTTGGGGTTTAGGGCTTTAGGGTTTGGGCTTTGGGGGTTTCAAGCCTTAGGCCTAGCCTTGACGTTCCAGGCTGCAATCAAAAGGACACAATCACCAGGACAAAGAAGGACAGGGCACCATTTTTGCGACACGTTTCCCTCGGCCGTGAACTCAACTTGTGGATGTCCGTGCAAGACGGCCCTGCATGCTGGTCAAAAGGCACCCGCAGTGTGGCGCAAGACTCTCGATTAACAGCCTTCGAAATTCAATCTTCAACCCATCTGAACCCGTAAAACTCCCCCCCCCCCCCAACAAAAAAAAAGCTGAGGAAACATAATAACTTCGGCTCTCGGGCCCCCGCCACGACCATTGTCAGCGCTGAGGCCCTCTCCGTTATCAGCGCTGCTGCGGAGGCCTCTTGAGGCGTGCTGAGGGGCCCAACGGTACTAATCTCCAGTATGACGGATATCATGAATCACTCGTATGTGCGTTTAGTTGTAAGAACGGGGCAGTGGGCTTTAGGAAACGGGGGGGTTGAGGGTTCGCAGAGATCTTTGGCCGCTGGGTGCTCTTGGATCCGAAAAGCAAACCCATCGAAGATAAGTATTCCAGGAAACACCCGAAACTTTGGGCTCTTTAGGGTTCCTTCAAAGGGATCTATAAGGGTTCCTCTAAAGGGATCTACGCCACGCTTTGAGGACGCAAAGGATGCCTTTCCGGGGCTCAGGAGCCGATCTTTGGAGGGTTTCGGGCGCGGAGCCTCGTGGCCCTCGCAAGCCGCGCTTTTGAGCTCCGGATGGCGGAAGACCTGCATCCACAAAAACGGGGGGGAAGGCTTCGGCCTTGAGGATTTCGGGCTTGCTCCAAATCCCCGGCTGCTGCACATACTCTCAAGAATCTGTGCGGACGAAGATTTCCAGGAGCTCCTGAGGCCTCAAATCCATATGTTCACACGCACTGCCCCCCCAAATCCTAACACACCTTCATGCAACAGCTCCGGCATGTCAAGCCCCGGCACCGCTGTCGAATGCTCCTTCGCCAGCCCTCCACCCACCCGACAGAGCCGGCGAAGCTTGTGCCGGATGCTTCCTATGATGGAATACAATAGAAATAATGTTCAGAATGATATCACTACTGATCCAAGTATCAATGCCAATATGAACTTTGGTCTTGGTCTGAATGATAAAGCGAATATGTATATCAATATTGGCATATTTTTTGCAATATTCATGTCAATATCAATACTAGTAAGAGATGATGTTTAGACCAGGACACCAACCCCAACTTTCGAGCTAGTGCCCAACAGCAGCCCAGGTCCTAAACCCTAACCCTACACCCTGAACCCTCAACCCTGACCATTAACTTACCCCTGAAGCCTGGGCAGCCCTGAACCGCCAAAAACCTCTAAGCCCCGAAAACACGGCAACACAGCGGCCTCGAACCTCAGCCCTGAACCCCAAAAAACCCTAAACCTTAAACCCTGAACCTTCAATCCTCAAGCCCAAAACCCTACCCGACAACCCTGCGGGGCCTCGAACCAGATCAGGAGCCCCAGCGCCAGGCAGTGCAACGCGGCGAGGCGGAGGCGCTCCAAGCTCTGCTGCGACGCCGAGGCCTCGAAGAGAGGGCCGAGGAAGGAGCCCCCAAAAAGCAAAAACACAGTTGGGTCTAACGGTTTTTCTTGGCTTCAGGGCTTGAATAGACTATCGGGTTCTACATGCGGTTTTGGAAGATTTGATAAGGGTGTTACCACGAATTTAGGGGTGTTGGGAGCCGAGGAAGGAGAGCTTCATGTGATATTTTCGGCGTCCATAGTGCATTGTATTTGTGGGTCTTTTACGCAATACTTTGTGGCCCCGCTTTTTTGTTGCGGACTGCCACAGCCACTGCAGCGGCCACGATAACAGCAATGAGAAGATCTGCAGAAGCGGCGCTCAACAAGATACTCATGTTCTAGATCCATAAAACTTCAAAACCCCAAAACCCTTGAGACAAAACCCTAATTCCCCCAACTACCCTTACTTCACCTGTCTACCCTGTGCCACACTAGGCTACCCCCACAGCGTAACAGAAGCTCTAGTAAACCCTTATCTTAAAAGACTAAAGAGCCGTTAGCGGTATTCTGACAGGAATCTCTTATGGATCCCTTGACGGAGCCCTCAAAGGCTCCTTTGAAGCACCCTTAAAGGAGCCCGTGTAACGCCAAACCCTAAAACACTATGCCCTCAGATCCTTAATTAAAGGATCCTTTCAAGCAGCCTTGGGGGGGTCATCCCAGGAGAACGGCAGCTGCTGTTCGGTGCCGCGGCAACCCTTCCCTCATCGCACCCTTAGAGGATCCCTTAAAGAACGAGATCAGCAACCCTTACGGGGAGCCCCTTAAAGGCTCCCTCCCCCTCGAATTTCCCACACCAGCTCTCTGCTGCAGAGGCACCGGCCCGAGGCCCGAGAGAAGCGACTCCTGGAGCTCTGAAAAGAGGGAATCCCATCCCTTTGAGGGCTCCATAACCGTTCCTATACGGGATCTAGGGGTTTAGAGCTTTGAAGGGTTTAAGGGCTCCATGACCGCTCCTATACGGGATCTAGTGGTTTAGAGGTTTGAAGGGTCTTGGGGTTTAGGCTTTTAGGGTTCAGGGATTCCTGTAAGGGATCTGTAAGGGGATTCCGTGACGGGATAGTGATTCCTTGAAGGGTTTCCTGTAAGGGCTCCTTTCAAGGATCTCTGAGCTCTTGAGGAATTCGGCCGCCTCTAGGGCTGGGGTCTTGGGGCGCGTCAGGGGTTTTAGGGTTCAGGCTTTAGGCTTTAGGGCTTCAGTGCTTTAGGGATTAACTCCGCGCTTTCCTCCAGTGAGAAAAATTTTGTGACCAGCACTTAAGACTTGAGGGTTGGTGTCTAGTCTATTGGGAATGGGAGAGCGCGCATCCCGGGCGGATGGTGGATTGGTCGGCAGTTGTACGTTGTGGTGAACTGATGGTGAGGGGGGGGGCGCCAGGTCCTCGATGTTAGCCCCAACATACCAAGACCTCTGGCGCCCCCCCCCGCTCCCCTACCCCGAGCGCAGCGCTTGTTCATAAACAGCGCCTGTGTTTATAAACAGCCCTTGTGTGTATAAAGACCGTAAAGGGAAACTGAAACAAATTCAACAAACCAACACACCATGACAAGAATCCTTGACAAGGCGATGCAGACATCAATCAATTCAACAAAAGATGCGTGAACAGAAGGCTAAGAGCAGCAAGTAAGCATCACGAGCCCCATCCAAAGGCCTAAGTAACTTCAAAACTCCTTATGCACAAGCGCAGGCTCCAGGATCGACCCTTCTCTGAGGGTTTAGGACTCCGCGGTTTAGGGTCTGGCCAGGCGGGGGGTCGGATGTAGCAGCACAATGTCTTGGTGGCATAAACTGCTCAAAAAGAGTGTGAGAAACCGCATCGCATGTTGTGTTTCCCTTACCGACCCGTGCTGCTTTCAAGTTTAAAGCTTGGAGGGTACGGCTAGCTGGATCTTTCAGGCTGACACCAGAGCGTGCCGCCTCGACCCGAGGCTTCCTCGACAGCCCACAGCCCTGCACCCCACATACCTGCTTCCAACAAGCTCCATACACCCTGGAGGCCCGCAGAACCCACCCCGAACCAGAGCCGCAAAGCCCCACGCAAAGTAAACTTGAAACCCCCAAAACTGTTCAAACTCGAACCCCAAACCCAAACGTGCCGCGGTCACCCCGGCGCCCGGGCGGCGCTTCACCGCCCCGAGCAAAGGCGCAGATGGCGCGAGGCGCTGGCGCTCAATGCCTGGGCTGGACTTCCCTGTGTAAATGAAAGGGACTGCAGGATTTCAGAAACAGGACGCAAACCGTTCGAAAGGGCCTTGAGGACACGAGAGGATTTGCACAACAGGAAGCAAACCGCTCGAAAGGGAGTAGAAGGTTTGAGAAACAGATAGAAACAGGAAGCAAACCGCTCGAAAGGGAGTAGAAGGTTTGAGAAACAGATAGAAACAGGAAGCAAACCGCTCGAAAGGGGCTAGAGGATTTGAGAAACACGGAGCAAACCGCTCAAAAGAAGCAAGAGGAATTGAAAGACAGGAAGAAAAATGCTCGAAAGGGACTAGACAAGAGGACGAAGCCAACCGCTCGAAAGGGACCAGAGGATTTGAGAAACAGGAAGCGAAAGGAACTAGAAAGCCAGTAGAAGATTTGAGAAACAGGAAGCAAACCGCTCGCAAGGGACTAGAGGATTTCAGAAACAGGAAGCACACCGCTCGAAAAAGACCCGGAGGATCTGAGAAACACGAAGCAAACCGCTGAAAAGAAGCAAGAGGATTTGAGAAACAGGAAGCACACCGCTCGAAAGGGACTAGACTAGAGGATTTGAGAAACAGGAAGCCAACTGCTCGAAAGGGACCAGGGATTTGAGAAACAGGACGCAAATCGCTCGAAAGGGACTAGAGTCGACTAGAGGACTTGAGAAACAGGAAGCAAACCGCTCGCTGGAGGATTTGAGAAACAGGAAGCCAACTGCTCGAAAGGGACTGGAGGATTTGAGAAACAGCAAACAAAACGCCCGAAAGGAACTAGAGGCTTTGAGAAACAGTAAGCAAACTGCTCGAACGGGACCAGAGGATTTGAGAAGTCCGACGCCTGCGACATCATGCAACATGAGCATTCTTATAAATCCCGCACTGCAAAGCATGCAAGCGCATGGTGATGATGATTATAACGGCGATGATGATGATGATGATGATGATGAGGAGGAGGAGGAGGAGGAGGAGGAGGATGGCGGTGATGGTGATTCTCGTTGTCAGGATGATGGGGATGGTTGTGAACGGTGCTGCTGGTGATGGCGACGGTGACGCTGATGGTGAGGGTGATAGTCATGGCGATCGTCATAACGATGAGGATGAGGATGACGATGATGAGGAACCGGAAGAGGACAAGGAGGGGACGAGGACGTTGAGGACTACTTAGCGTCACCTGCACCACTTCTTTCCAACCGTGTCAGTCCCCATATTGAGAATAACCCTATAGCGGGCAGGGCACTGAGCAAGCCCAAGCAGGAGCCGATCCGACCTGCTGCACTCTGGAAGGCCTTGCATGACAGGTGATGAAATTCGTACTCGCTGCAATGAACAAGGGGACCCCATCCGACGAAAGGACAGGCAGAGTAAATGGTCGGATGGTTGGAGCTGGAGGAGCGGTGGCGGTGATGCTGCATCAGCCAGTACAAAGCAGGGATTCTCGTGCGAATTAGAAGTTACAAGTTCGCTTGTCAAGCTGTTAGGACCTGGATATTCCGGCCACGAATGGCACAGAACGTCCAACGCCTACGGCGAGTTGCCTGCAATTTCAAGCCTTAAGCGCAGAGGCCTTTGGCCAGAACGCTGCAGAAAGGAAACCGCTAACGTTCGAAGGGCACCTCCCATACCAAAAGCAGAAGGAGAATGAAGCGGCTCAGCGCGAAGATCATGTCGGACCCGCCAGGCCTCGGACTGTACAGTGGCCCCACCAACAACCACCACGACCGCAAGACCGCCGCCACGACCACCACGACCACCACGACTACCACACTACTACGACGACGATGACGACGATGACGAGTAGAGGTAGTCGCCGGTGGTGTTTGCTGTTGTTGCCGCTGTTGGCTTGCCATGACTTTGAGGGCCGGTACTACTTGTTCTGAGAAGCATCGAATAAATGTTGTCACCTGTCTTTTAGAGAGCACGGCACAAGCAAGCACGAAACCACCGTGTCCAATGAATCTTGGTAAGGACTCTTCTGGGACCTCTTCCGCACAAATTCCACTCGTATTGCAAGTCAGCTGCTGGGCTGCTGCGGCCTGCATGCTGCGTTTAAGGCGAAAAAGTCTAGGGGTTGGGGCTTAGGATCTAAAGTTGGGAACTTAGGGCTAGGATTTCGGCTTTAGGGCCTCTGGTTCATGGAACTGCAGGCACTTCCTTTAGCTCGCCTCTCCAGCATGCGGCTGCTTCGCAGAGCTTCTGAGATACCGAATGAGCCCCTAAAGCTGGTCAGTCTCTGAAGCTCAACAACAGAAGTCCACAGGCTCGAGTTGTGGAACAGCTGAAGGCCACTGAGACGGGGAGCAATGCTGGCGCCCGCCAGGCAGGAAGTGGCGAGGCGAAGGTGCGCACGCGCCGCCAGGTAGCCCTCCCTGTCAATGAGCACGACGCGATCCTGGTCAGGAGGATCCCAAAAGGCGAAAATAGGCTAAACCACCTTAAATTCAAAGCCCCCAAGCCCCCATGCAGACCCTAGCACGAGGAGCCCTTCCAAAATAGAGAGCCTACTGGCGCTTGCCTCGTGGACGGCGCGTGCAGCGCTTCGGGCGGAGAGCTGCGAGCTGCTCTCCCTGTCCTCAAGATTTGAAGGTTCCTTTGAAAGACCTCGACTGAAAGGGTTGCTCTGCTCTGTGTTTTCCTTGAAAAGGGCTCCGATTCCTGTGATGTGGTTTCAGGTAAGGCCTCTTTCTTGGCTTTCCTCTGCTCTTCGCATCTGTCATGGCGACACTCTGGTGGTCCCTGCTGTGGCGAATTGACAAGGATCTCACGTAGTGCTCGAAAGACCCCTAATTAGAAGCCAGATGCCATCTGCCCGGTCTTCCAAAGTCCTTGGCCACAAGAGGAAGAAAATCTTTCACAACGCCCACACCCACAAATACCTTTATCCTGTCCTTCTGCTTCTCCTGCGGCGCACGGCTGCGGCCGACCGCTTTGGGTTCGACTGCATTCGTCTCCTTCTGACCAGAATGAACTACTTCGGGTTACAGAAGGTCCTATAAGGGCTAAGAGCACAAGAAACTGAAGTGAAGGACATGCTCGGATCTAAAGCCCAAGTGATCGAAATAACGATACCAAGGACTAAAGTTCCTCCACTGAAACGATTCTCCACCACTACTAAGTTCTGCGAGGACTGCAGAACCATCCTAAGTGAGATATGTGCGGGACATGCCTCATGCAGGTCCACCAAATCCCTGAAGCCATCAAGACTCGAGAAATCTCCAGTCTAGAGTTTAATCCTGACTGGGTTGTACCTTCTTAAGCGTTCCTCTTAAGGGTTCATCCTAAGGCTCTAAGGCTCTAAGGCTTCGTCTCTAGAGTTCCTCTCGCCTGCGTCACACTTGCTTTGGAACGAAAAATGTTACTCCACCAAATGCTAGCCCTAAACCCTAAACCCCCCTCAACCATAGAGCCATGAAGCCCTAGAGTGAAGACTAAGAGTCATAAGGTAAAAGCCAGAAAGTTGGAATATGATTATCCTAACCCTTCTATGGTAAATTATAGGGTATCCTACCATGAAACCATATTCCAACTTTCTGGAGTTCCCTGTAAGAGCACTGAAAGTGCCAGGTGGGAGATCGGGCCCGACACCCGACCTCGCCCAGGAGCTCTCCGGCCCGACGCTTTCGCCACTCGCGCTCGCGGCCCCCGCGGGAAGAGACCGAGGTGCCTGAGCTTTGAGAGCTTTGCGGTTTAGGGTCGGGGGATGTCTAGGGTCTTGGGGTCTTACGGCTCAGGCTCTCTTAAAAAACAAGGAAGCAGTTGTAGGAGCAACAGCACGAGCAAGCTGGAGTGCAGCAGCCGCAGCAGTGGCGCGTACTACTGTTGTGGATCGTCTCCTAACCGTCCTTTGCTGTCGCGCCACGGTAGGCGACGGTGGCCACCACCACAGCGCCTGAAACAGCCAAGGTCGGCAGCACCGCGAACTGCTCGGGGCCACAAGCAAGGGACATGGCTCGGGAGACAGGTCGCTTTGTAAATGAAAGCCTCGGAACAAGGGGTTGCACAGCAGCTTGGTGCATGGACTCGGCTTTGCTGAACACTGCCTGCTGGCCCAAATCACCCACACTTCTTACCAGGCAGGGCGTGTCCATCGGTATCAATGGATCTACAGCCACAGCTCGTCTGCATTGAGCAGCGGGCCACAAGCAGAGACGCGAATTGAGACCAGCAGTTCGGATTTCGGGCTTCCTGAGTGCTGTGGCTGCCATGGGAGGCGGGGGCTTCAGGTCTGCAGGTCTCAAGACCCGGTTATTTGTATGGGCGGGCTTCCTTGGGTTTTGTAGAATTTGAGGCCCGACAAGATCCTGGCCTGACAGGATCTGAGAGGTGTGGGCCAAGGCTCGAAGATTGAGGGCTTTGGCCTACAAGTGACTGAACCGAATGCTCCGTGGGCGGAGTCTTCGCAAGAACCGTCGGGCTTCGCCCAGTCAGAAACCGGCTTCTTTTGCAACCAGGGCATCTACCACGACAGTCCCGGCCAATGTCACCCAGGCGACACGAGTTGTCACCCCTCACAGGATCGAGAGACCGGCCTGGCTAAGGAACCTGAAGGCTCAGTTGTAGGACACTCTCAAAGGCATGGTACTGAGGTTTGCTCTTCTTTGGCCTTTGACTAGCAGGTCTCTGCGTCAATGCCTGAATCCACACAAAAAAACATGGTCCAGATGCCTTTGGCATTCGTCGGGTGAAAAACCTCAAGGCTCCATGCCGAGAAGTCTGGCACGACGTACTTGTCTTTGAGTAGGCCATGTCCTTCGTAAATTGACGTAGGATGCATGTGCAAGCCCAGAGCACACACGAGAGCTTCCCTGTCTCACCTCTCTCCATCATGCTTTTTCGTGTGCCCTGGACAAAGAGTCGCAGGTTTATTCAGCTCCAGGGGCTCCTCCCCTTGAAGCAGGCAAGTGCAGTGAGACAGGGCCAAAAACGGCTGGCTGGCCAAATCTGATGTGGACTCAAACATGTGGTGCTGGAGGGATAAGTGTTCCAAAGTTGAAGGCCGCTAGACATGATGTAAACAGCCGCCCTACAGGACGCTGCAGTTTCGATTCAAAGCGTCCCTGAAGACCCTGTTACTTGTAACAGGCCAGTCGACAGCCAGCTGCTTGGCTAAATGCAGTCATCTTGCTGCCGCATACTAAATGGACCTCAGCACCACGGAGCAACTCGAACGTGCAGCCGGCGTGACATGAGAGTGCTGTGACCTGTCCGGCACGCAGAGTCAGCATTCAGCATCATAGGGAAGCAGTGAAAAGGAAGAACGGAACCCGAACTTGCAGACAAGCAGCCAAGACTTCTGCAGCGCTAGTGACCCCACATCACTTGATCTTTCTGAGCCTTGGTTTTGTCAATAGTGCTGAACCATTCGGCAAGGTCTGAACGTGTAGAAGTTATACCTGCTCGCTTCAGCTCCACATCTGCAGCTTCCTTGCTGTCGAGATCAGAAAACACAACGACACAAACCATGGCTGGGTTCGGGGTTTATTGTGTTAGGGCTCGAAATGCAAAACTTGGTGCCCTCGCTTTACCGTACACCAAGAAGAAAACCCATCATCCCTTTTCAATCGACCATGTCGGGGGGGGGGGGCAGAACCCGAAGCCGAGTCTTGCAGGACGGCCTGGTCACCCAACGGACCCCCTGAGAATAACACGGATGATTCTTCAGGCTATGTACCTCTGGTCTGAACCCCAAACCTAAACCTAGACGCTTGCCGCTTAACCGTTAGCCTACAGTCTGCGTCCCAGCCCCGACCTTCGCCAGTTTGCGCCCAGGAGCCTTGCTTTCAGCACAGCCTGCAGCCTGGGATCCGATGGGCTAAAGCTTAAAGTGCAGCGCTCGAGGCCTTTGGTTCTTTTGGTTCTGAAAGGGAACCCGTCTTTTGCCTGAGAGCTTTCCAGCGGGTTGCTCATCCGTCCTAGGGTCCCAGAGTTTCTGGGATGCCTATAAGTTCACCACTCAAGCCAGGCGAGGGGCTGCTCGAGGTGCCAGTTCGCGTTTAGAAGCCAGCTGCGCTGTGCCTGACCCGCGGGGGCCGAGAGTGCGCCCTAAGCAGCACAAAAGCCTACAAGGTGTTCGACCGTCTCCGAGCGCTGCAGTCATCTGAGTCTAGGCCGCCTTGGCGCGTCGAGAAAACATCCAAGCCTATGGGCCTGGACATGCATGGCTCAAGCAACCCCTCCGAAGTCGCTGCATGGTACAACCGAAGGATTTCCAGGCCTCAAGGCGATTTAGAGCTCAGAGGTCACAGAAATTCCCGCTTGCAGCCCCTGCGCAGTTCAGGAAGGCCTTGAGCATGGCATCGACTTCACGCAACCACACGGGTTTCCACTCATCTTCAACCTCGCAATTTTAAGACAAAGGCAGCTAAGGAGTCTACGAGCTCGGGATCTCATGGCGTGTGGATGGCACGGCAAAACTTCCTAACAAGAACACTAGGTCACTAGGACCGAGGAGTCACCAAAGCCCACAGGGCCAAAAAGCCTTCGCTGTCCTGGTCTACTTGGATACCCCGGGATTCCAGTCACGCCACCCTGTAACAACGTCTTCTAGTACTCTGGCGCTCCATCAGAGCTCTTCAACCCTATACCCTAAACCCTAAACCTTCGGCTGAAGGAACCGGTTTGGCCGCATCTTCTTGGCCCTCACCCTGTGGGGCTTCGGTGGGCTCCTCGACGACCGGCGACGGCCTCAGAAAAGGCTCTCATCCAAGTACCAAGGCTCGAATAGACACAAAAGTATGCGCGTTATAGATGTTATAGTTCCTAACATACATCTATACATATATATATATATACACATATACAGACATACATACAGACAGACAGACATCAGAATCATACAGACACACAGACACACGCATGCATATGCCTTGCATACATATGCTACATGCACGTATGCACCTATGGGACTACATATGCCTGCATCTGGATCTGCAGTGATGTCAAACCTGCAAGAACTTGGCATCATGGGCGACCTGGGTCTACGTCCAAACACACGTCCTCACGCCTCAGCCTAGCACAGAGGACCAAGTGCAGACTCAAGCATCGAAGGGAAAAATGTCTACTGCTCCAAGGGCACTCGAGGCCGAATTCGTCCTCGAACTCTGGGACCTCCTCCTGGAGGACAGTGCTTTTCAGGCTCCAAGGTCCATGCCGCTCCGGTCCACTTACACCGAGGGCAGAGCCGAGGCATGAGGCTTGCAACCGTTACAACATCGGAATATCGGAAGATCTCATTCAGCAAACCCCTGATTTGGACTTCCCGATCCTCCACGATTGTAGGATCGAAGATCCTGGCTTTGCCGGGATGGAAACTTGTAGCTCAGGGTAGAATCGGAGAAAGAAGAGCATGTGGATGCATGTGGCAGACGCGTACGAGTTGTTGCTCTCCTGTCGGTTTGGGAATGGTTGTTGACGTGTTGAGCGCGGGCCCACAGCTGACATCTACGAACAAGCAGGTTGAACGCGATCGCGATCGTGGTCCTTCTGCTAAGGGATCCTTCTGCTGAGGCCTGAAAGCTTCTTCCTGTAGCCTCCATGCCTTCCCTCAAAGTTTCTCACACATGTGATGCCAGCGGAGATCTGCAAACAGTGCAAGACCCTTCGTGCACTGCGACCAGGACGACCGGGACGACAAGGACACGACACCAGGTGACCACCAAGAGGCCACCAGGAGAACACCAGGACACCAGGACACAATCCACAGTACACCGCGGGATCGTCATCAGAAGACCAGCCGGAGACTCCAGGGGACAGCACCAGGACGCGAGGACCGAGAATCAAACCATGCTTCGAACGGCTTCCCCCAAGTGGCGGGATCCAGAAGCATTCGAGAGCACGGTGAATCGCTCCCCCAAGTACTGGTCGCCCGAGGAGCAGCACGAAAAAAAGGCGCTTTCCCACAAGCACTCGCACATTTCGGGAGCAGCCGACTTATGCCTCCCCCCCTTAACTTTCGAGATGCATTTCCCCCAAGTACTGCTGCGATGCAAGGATTCGAAAGCCAAAAGTGGGTCCATGTCGTAGTATTTACAATGAATCCTGACCCATGGGCGCACGTCCCCGGCGAATCCTCTGTAAATACTAGGACGTCAGCGACAAGTATGCGCACTACAGCAGGAGACGTGCGCCACTAGCATCCTGTAATGGGACGCAGGAACCCGATTTGCAGCATCTGCTGTAAATACTAGGATGCGGGAGGGGGGTGTTTTCGAAGCACGCCGCAGCGGGACAGCAATCAATTCTCTTTACTCTGAATGCGATGACCCCGTGCGCAGTGTTTCGGAAGGAAGAGCAAAGCGCATGTAAGACAAAGCACTGTAACCATGATTAAAGTTGCAGATTCACCATGATCATCATCATCATCATGCCAATTCCAATGCTAACACCTACACGAGCACGAAGAAACTATAAGTAATTTCAGACTAAGACTACTATTGATACTAATACTATTACCCAAACACTCTCAAATGACAAACACTGACGCCAGTGCTAAGACAACTTCTAGTTTCAGTATCAGCGTGAGTATTCGTATTCGTGTCCGTATTCCTATTAGCATCATACTATGTATGGTATTCGTACTTATACTGGATACTTGCACTGATGCTCATACTATGACCAATACGAATGCTTATAAGAAAAGGAGTTTATCACAGAAGAATCGATGCGTCTCACTTGGGAGAGCCCCTGGCCTGGGTGGCCTGTTCCCCTTGTGCTGGACAGGGAAAGCAGAGGCGCCGTCGCCTCGAACGTCACTTGCCGATACTTTCAGCATTGAACTCACAAAGCCTTGTCAAAAACTACTGAGAACATGTCGCTCCGCTCGCAGAACAGAACAGGCATCAGTTTGAGCACAACTAACCCTCCAACCCGCATCGAAGGCTAGGCAACGGCCATGGCATGCAAACCTCAATTGGGCCCAGCAAACTCCTTTCGACCTGTGAGCAAGCCC